TCCGTTTAGACATGTTCATATCTTTCCTGACGTTACGCCTGAACACCATTCTTCCCTTCACTTGACCTTAGGACTTGTCTGCAAAACCCCAGCATTTGTCTCTCCTGGGTGAGTACTCGGGAAGCCCCTCTGTGAGCATTCATCTGGAAAATCTAGAAAGTTCCCAAAGTGAAATACAGATTTTTACCCTCTTCTTTGAGTGTTTATTATAGCCATTTTTCTTTTTCCATAACAAAAAGTGTAAACTGAATTAGCATGTTCTCCTCTACCTTGGCAGGGCAGCATTACAAAAAAAAAAAGTTCAAGTTTTGGCCAACATGAATGAAATATGGCTCTCCATCAGCAGTATATATTCGGAATAGGGCCAAGAATTAAGCAAAAGGAGTTTTGGAGGAACCAAGTTAGATGTAAAAACAAACGCAACAAAAATAACACATTCTTACTCCTGGTGAAGTTACTAAAGCAATCACTCCAAGTTTATTGACGTTCTATACAGCCGACCCTTGAACAGCACAGGTCCTTGTATATGTGGGCTTTTTTTTCCAGCAAGTACAGTACTGTAAATGTATTTTCTCTTCCTTATGATTTTCTAAATAACATTTTCTTTTCTCTCATTTCCTTTATTGTAAGAATACAGTACATAATGCATATCACATACAAAATATATGTCAGCCCACTGTTTATGTTATCGATAAGGCTTCCCAGTCAATAGAAGGCTATTAGTGGTTAAGTTTTGGTGGAGCCAAAAGTTCCGGTTTAGTAAAGTCATAAAGTTTTGACTGTGGCGGGGAGGTTGGTGACCCTAACCGCCCCCTTCCCCTTGTTCACGGATCAGCTGTGTAATTTTTAACATTGTGACTTCTTCCATATATTAGGTATCCAGAAAATACTTGTTGAATAAATGAGTGAATGTTAGAGACACTTGTAACCGAATTAGGGGAGAGGCTGCTATAATGCTATGAATATGTTAAAAAGTAAAATTTATGATCATATTTTAATAATAGTGTTTTAGGGCTTTATATGTGCTAGGCACTCTTCAACCTTTAGATCATTTAATCTGATTTAATCATCATAATTTTATGCTAGAGATATTGTCGTTATCTAATTTTTTGCACCTGAAGAAGCTGAGGCAGAGAATGGCTAGGCGACTAGCTAAATTGGTGAATTGGCGAAGGCCAGGGTTCAAAGCGGGGTCTGACCCCAGAACTCTTACCCCTCATCACTGATTTGTGCTGCTTCCTGGTTACGTGGCAGTGAAGAGATAGAAAAACATCTGAGGCAGACCTGAGGACTCCGACACACTGTAGTCTTAAGGACAAAGAGTTTTGGTCGGAGGAAAACCACCTTTCAAGTCTCAGTGAATGAGGATTTTACTTGATTAGAACACAATAGAGAAATTCACAGTGAAACCCTGAGTCATCAGGACATGTTCTTCTGTTTGATTTACAACCTGGATCTTGAGGGGAGTAGGAGGTCACCAGGGAAGCTTGCAGGGTGAGGACAGTAGGAATGTGGCCAGAAGAGAACATCTAGTTCTCAGGCCAGAAAGTTGGCCCGACCCTGGAAGTGACGGGAGTAGTTTCCAGTGTCTGGGAGTGCAGACCCTCGATGATAACCTTTTCCTCAGTTTCAGTGTCTCACAAGCCAGGGGAAAGGTTCTCGCCCCATCTCTTCTCAGAGCCGCTCTCCCTGTCTCTGTGTCCCCCATCCTGGAAGGCTGGAGACCGGGCTGAGCCCTGCAGGGTGGGGGAGTCCCGAGTGGTCTCTGCTGCCATCTGCCTCTGGGACTGGCTCTAACCACCCCTCTCCAGGAAGGACTGGGGCTCCCCAGGGAAATTCATTTGACTCTGTTTGTAATACAATTCTGCGCACCCCATGTCTAGCGCAAGTTGATTTTTGAAGATGAGATGTCTTCCCTGGAATGCATGAAAGGGATTTCTTTTCTGAAAAGGAGACGTTGGAAATCACCTTGCTGGTTGTCTGATAGCGTAGTTGTTGAACGAAAAAATTGGCCAGTGGGAAGGCCAGTCCTGCGGACGGCAACCTAGAACTCCAGAGGGTCATGGCAGTACAAGGTGCTGGCCCTAGCTACCTGATAAATTGGACTCTTTTCAAGTGGCTTTACTTCTCCCTCTCTCCATTTGTTAATTTGTAAAATGAATATAAAAATAGCTGCCTGTTATTGCCCAGCAAGCTCCTGCAGGCAGAAATTATGAAGTTACTTAAGGGTTTCTGTTGTTGTTGTTGGTTTTCATAAGAGAGCTTTCTGGAATATATTGCTAAACTTGAGAGAATGATTCCCAAATTAAGAAGGAAGAATGAGGGACACCTGGGTGGCTCAGTCGGTTAAGCGTCTGCCTTGGGCTCAGGTCATGATCCCAGGGTCCTGGGATCGAGTCCCGCATCGGGCTCCCTGCTCAGCGGGGAGCCTGCTTCTCCCTCTGCCTCTGCCTCTCTCTCTCTGTCTCTCATGAATAAATAAAATAAAATCTTTAAAAAAAAAAAAAAGAAGGAAGAATGATGTGTGTGATTTGAAACAGCATACTGACTTACAGGTTCAGTGGTCCCAGCCGTCTGCAGCACACATCCCAGCGGCCCCTCGCCACCGCTCTGCTTACCATTTGGTGCTTGTGATCATGAGAAGCCAACACGTAGGAAGTAAAGCTGGGTCAGGGCCCTTGGGAGGCCAACAGCCTCAGCTGCACGGGGAGACACCCCCACACACACCTTGGGGTGTTCATCCTTCTGGCTCCTGGTTACACTGTCCAGTTTCACTCCTGGCCCACAGTAGTCCCACCCAAGTAACATGCATGTTTCCAGATGCCAGGTGAGCAGGCCCTCAGCCCGAGGCTTCCCTGACACGGAGCCCGGCCAGCTCTGCAGAAAGCCACAGTCTGACTCAGGAGGCAGGGCTGACAAGCCACCTTGGCTGCTTTTCAGATGCTGTCGGACGTCAACCTTCTCGTATGTAAAACACGTTGCCTCCTTTCTCCTTAAAAATCATCTTGTGTTTGTTATGTAGCTATCGTCCGGTCAAAGACTTTGGCTCTGGCTCACGTGTTGTAGTTTTCTTGGACCTGTGTTATACTATCATCTAATGTTGTATACACAGCTTAGGGGGGCAGAATTGGAATTTAAAGTCTGGCGGTCTGGCTCCAGGTTAGTCCGGGCCCCTCGATGTCCCGCGGCAGCTACAATGACGCATTAGTGCAGTATGGAGCCACGCACCTTTATAACTGAAATATCAGTTTCACAGACCAGTGCGCACTCTTAAGCTAGGCGGCGTGCTCTGGTTCTTTCCCATGCTGGTTGTCTCCTCATTCTCCCCCCAGTTTCTTTCCTTCCTTCTTTATTTATTCCCGATCACAACATCCCAACTGAAAAACAGTGAGGTCCTGCTGTCCGGTGTCCGTTTATCCATTCATCGGATGTTCACTCGGGGGCCCCCCATGTATACGGAGATGCCCCCAAATCTAGGAAGACATGTATTAGGTACCAGCCTTACATTAGTAAATATATAGCTATTTGGTAACATGAATTAAAGGACTATAGAAAAGGGGCAGAGTTCATACTAAAATAATTGGTATATTCTGACAGCAGAATACTATGAAACATTTAAAGTAATGACAGAACATTGTGGATATCAGTGTGGCTACATCTCAAAAACACGGTTAAAAACAAGTTTTACAGGGGCGCCTGGGTGGCTCAGTTGGTTAAGCGACTGCCCTCGGCTCAGGTCATGATCCTGGAGTGCCTGGATCGAGTCTGGCATCGGGCTCCCTGCTCAGCAGGGAGTCTGCTTCTCCCTCGGACCCTCCCCCCTCTCATGCTCTCTGTCTCTATCTCATCCTTTCTCTCAAATAAAAATCTTACAAAAAAAAGTTTTACAAAAACATAAGTATAGTATAGTACCGGACAAAAGCATCTTACCATATAATACAGTGTGTGACAGTATACTGCAAAAGCATAATTATAGTATAATATGATTTGTATAAAAGTTTTAAAAAATGGGGCGCTTGGCTGGCTCAGTCAGAGCATGTGACTCTTGACCTCAGGGTTGTGAGTTCGAGCCCACGTTGGGTGCAGAGATTAAATTACTTAAAAATAAAAATAAAACAAAAAATAAAATAAATTTTTTAAATAGAACAATACTGTGTATTATCACGGGCACATTCCTATGCAGTAAAAGTGAAAAACCATTCAAGCAACAACCACACCACTTTTCGGATAATGTGAATTACTCTCTGGGGCAGGAGAGAAGGTTGGGACTTTAAATCCTGTTAAAGTAAAAATATTTAGCAAATGTGGCAAAATTTAATCACTGTGAAGTCCGTTTGGGCACATGGTTATTGTCTTGTCACTCTGGGTGCTTTTCTGTGTATTTAAAATGTTTAGTGATTCAGAATTGAAAAGGTGAAATGAGTGCCTGTCCTGTGCCGCTTCTGTGTCTGGTGCATGCCCATGTTTCTGTTCTGTGCCTTTAGCTGGTGTTCTCCGTCACATGAATGTCGCATTTCTCTAAAGAAACACTGTACCTGCTAGTACCTTATGGCTAAAGACATTTGGCGTTTGCAGGGGATCCGTCGGGTCTCGGGGGCATTGTTCCTGGATTCCCCAGCAGAGGGCGCTGCTCCATAGCAGATGTGAGGAGGGGAGCCTCCCGCCAGCATCCAGGCCAACGCTCCGGGTGCAGTACCAGAGCCTCCCAGGGAAGCGCTCTTGCACCCAGCCACAGGACCGCAGGGCACCTAACTACCTGCAGCTTCCTTCATGCCTGTAGGGAGGGACGCAGGCTCCACCATATTTGGCCGTTTGCAGATTCAGTCACGTTTCTCTGTATATTTATAGCGTTGGCTATTTACGAGGCTAAGAATACAGAAATTATACCAGGTATAGCACATGCCAAGAGCTTCCTCCACCGTTGCATGGATAAGCCTGATGCTGATGGGTGAGGAACTCTTTCCTGGTAAACTGACCAGGCAACCTTCCTTTCATTCTAGGTGGAAAAGGATTATTCTTACTTGAAGGAGATATGTGATCATCAAGCAGAACAACTGAGCCGAACCAGCCTGAAACTGCAAGAGAAAGCGTCAGAGAGTGACGCGGAGATTAAAGACATGAAGGAAACCATATTTGAATTGGAAGATCAGGTGGAACAGCATCGGGCTGTCAAGTTACATAACAACCAGCTCATTAGTGAGCTAGAGAGTAAGTGAACTCGAGCCCTGGTCAGACGTGGATCAGGAGTGAGCATGATGTGAACCGAATGCCTGGGAGGGTCTGTGAGAATGGTTGTGAAAAGTCTTCCTTCCTCATATTCGGCAGTCTTGTAGGAAGAATGGCAGTCAAGAAAGGCAGAATGATTAACCTCTTTAACTGGAAAAGTGGGTGGTGTGGAAGGAAAGATTGTTGAACGCGAGTCAGCAGCACGGGGTGATTGTGAAAAAGAGCAAACACATTTGGGAGTGTTAGGTCTACTGTGCGTGAGCCACACCACTGCCCACGCCCATCGGGTATTGACAGAGCATTGTCTTTTGGATCTGACGGGTAGGAAGACAGGTGACAGATGGTCAGATGGATTTGAACAATGGGCTAGGGAGAAAACAGTTCTAGCTTGTGTCCCATTAAGCCAGGATATCAAGTAACTTCTAGAGATTGGCCACTTCATCACCAAAGAGGCTCCAATATTTGGCTTCTTTATGAACTCGTTGTTCGCTTTGAATAGGGAAAGACATTAGAAGGGATTAAACATTGCCTGCTTTGTCCAAATAAGCTTTATCAAATTATCACTTCTAATGTGTTTTTGCTTTTGTCACAAAGGAATTAATGCACAGAGCTTTTGGTGACACTCACCATTGCTAAAAATAGCATAGTTGGTTGTTTGCCTGAAAAGTTCCCCGACTTGTTCAGCCCATCCTCATTATTTGTGGAAGCCATATCTGGGAATTCACCTGCTTGCCAGAATTTATTTGTAAGCCCCAAATCAACACGGCACTTCTCACATCATTTGCAGACATGTGCAGAGAGCGCGGCAAAAAATTTTAGTCTCCCCAATTATTTTTGTCCTTTTTTTTTTTTTTTTTTTGGCTATTTCACTGTATAGAGTGGCCTCTAAATGTAGTCCTGAAATGCCGTGTGGGGTCCCTACGGCTAGAAAGCCAGGATGTGCCTAATGGAGAAAATAAGTGTTAGATGAGCTTTGTTCAAGCACGAGTTTTAGTACTGTTGGCTGTGAGTTCAATGTTAACGAAAACTTCCAGAGAAAGGAAGATGAAATTCACCACCCTGGAAAATGCTGAAGTAAAATCTGTGGCATGTGACGAAGATGTGGAAAAGATTGAAAAGCAGCTATATTTGCGGATTCACAAGATGATGTCTGGCTAAAAAAAAAAAAAAAAATGTAGCGGACTACATTATTGTGCAACTAAAAACCAGAGAATTTTACAGTCATGTTTCCCAGGGTCAGGAAAGCTTTAGACCCTTCTGAGCCGGTGCTGGCTGGCTCTTGAGGCTTGGAAGGCGTCACAGCATGAGAAAAGGTAAAAACTTTCAGGCGAGGCAGGTTCTTTCTATCAGGAGGCTGCTGAAGAATTTTTAAAATACTTACTGAGTGTTATGCAGGAAAAGGGTTATGTGGGTAAGCAGGTTTCCAGCACTGATGGGACAGGCTTGGGTTTTTTTTTTTGTTTTTTTTTTACAAGGACACTGGCAAACGAACCTGTATAACACAAGTAGTGTCTCCTTTGATAAAAATATTGTGATCAGAGGCTTGCAGGAACCGAACCCTGTATTGCCCGTAGGAGCAAAGTTCAGTATTTGTGAATTCGGCGTGCATGGCAACTTTATGTAACTGCCACAAATAATGAGAGTTGACTGTATATTCCACACCTTGATTGCTTGGTTAGCACCAGAGTTCCATCCTTCACTGGATGTGATACGCAGCAGAATTACAGAACATCAGCATTCAGTGTCAACATCATTAGATAGTTCTCAGTAATTACGCCTGAGAAGATAACTAAAACCCACCACCATTGACAGTGTATATTTCCAAACAGCACCATACTTGAAGAGCGTATAAAGTCAAAGAAGAGAAGTCCGGTTTTGCTTTGTCTCTGTGATATATGGCTCATGAGAATTTGGTTGTGTTGTCCCCAAATCCTTAAAAGTCAAGCACAACCCCACCAAGAAAGCCAGCTTATAATTAATGTCCAAAGCAGATATCACACCATTCCCTATGGTTGTATCCTAACATATCCAAGTTTGAAAATAACATAGACTGGCTGTCTTTTGAGAAGCTTTTTAACTTCTGTCCAGGGTGTTAAGGTAGTACTAAGATGTCTTTTCACTAGGAGGCCCAGGGACACACAAATCCAGCCTGAGACCAGTCACTCCTCCCTATTAGATCCTCGAGAGAAATGGACAGAAAAGTAAAAAGAAGTGGAAAGAGTGATTTCTTATTCTGCCGCATTGACCCCAAACACAGATTCTCAGGCCCCACGTGCTGAATTAGAATGGTTGGGGTGGGACCCGACTGTGTGTCGTTTACTCTCTTTGAAGCTTCTCTGATAATTCTGATTCATATCCTTAATAGACAGCTACTGCCCTGGAACGAATCATGAAGAACCATTGAAGAATTTTAACTAGGTAATGGACGTGATCAGGTTTAAATTGAAATGACTCTTGTAGCAACATGGAAGAATCAGAGGCACAGAGAGAAGGGGACTGAGGATATTCTTAATTAGGGAGAGCGGTCAGGTCACCTTTGGAGCTGTTAAAATGCACCCACCCAAGATCCTGTCTTTCCGTGGGTGTTCCCGCTCTCTGGGTCACAGTCTGGGGCTTTGAACAGGTGTGCTTTTGAGAGGCTTCCCAGGTGATTCTCTGGTTTAACTACAATTAAAAACCACGAGTCTAGCAACTGGTCTAAAAGCCACCGTAGTAATAACCAGTCATATTCTCTGTTATACAAAAGCCCCCTACCTCACAGCGATAAAGGACATTCAGGACCATAATATGCGACCACCAGGGGGGCTGGGAGTGAGTGTTAATCAATACGAGTGACTATTCAGACCTCTTCCCATAGTGCTGCCTAACTGTTCCATCTGAGAGTATAACCTAACTCAACACCACTTATTCCCCAAACCATCCCATTTTCTGTGTTGGAAGAACCTCCAGTTTCTAGCTGCCAGGTTTCAGGGTGCTGAGGATGGAATTTATAGCAGAAGGGATGGATTTGAAACCTGGAGCTGCTCCCTCACTACCTCACTTACTTTCTCCCAAGAGTCTGGCGCCTTTTCCAACTCCTGTCTGACTTGTTTATTTCCAGGCAACGTGATGAAGCTGGAGGAACAGAAGTCAGACCTGGAAAGGCAGCTGAAGACTCTGACTAAGCAGATCAAGGTGAGATTTGGCTACAGCAGGGAACAGGGAGCCTTCTCTGTCATTTTACTAAGTGCGTCCCCGCCTTCGGTTTGGAACCTTTCGAAGAAGACCCTGTTGACTCTCGTAGCCTGCTTTCTCGGTACCTTCCCGTGGGCCCCAGAACCGCAGAGTAGTGTTGGCAGGAAACAAAATCAAAGCAGCCTCTCAATTTCAGGAAACGCTAATAGCACGAGAGTGTCCTTCCCGGCGGGCCGGGCCTTTTCCCGGTGGTGGGACAGCACTGATGCAGGACTCACTAAGGGCTGCCTGACGTGGGGGACCTTGGGGCCCCTGCCCACACATCGGCCCCCGCCGGCCTCTGATGCAGGCGTGGCTTCTGGCATTTTCAGGAGGAGACAGAGGAATGGAGGCGGTTCCAGGCGGACCTGCAGACAGCGGTGGTGGTGGCCAACGACATCAAGTGTGAGGCTCAGCAGGAGCTGCGTACCGTGAAGAGGAGGTTGCTGGAGGAGGAAGAGAAGAACGCCAGGCTGCAGAAGGAGCTGGGGGACATGCAGAGCCACGGCAGGTCGGTCACAACAGAGCCCTGCGTTTGTGAGTCTGCGGGCACCCGCACCATGCTTGGCTTCTCCCTTACTCACCGTGCATGAGCCTTCGCCGTCTAGAGACGTGGCGCTTCTCTGTCTCTCTGTGCACAATCTTTTATTTCTCTGCTAAGCTTACTCGGCCACTCCTGCCACTGCCACACAACCAGGAATGGTCCATTCAGGGCCGGGCCGCTGCCATTCTCTGGCCTGAGGCAGTGAGAAAACTCCTCACTCACCTATGTGCAAAAGTTTTAGCCAAGTGTCCTCCTACATTTAAAAAAAACAGAAGTATGTCTAGGATGCTCCTTCCATCTTGGTGTTTATTAGTGCAGGGGAGTACACACTTCCACGGGCCGTGGCAACACCTTGCATGGGTCCCTCTCATGCCATGGGCAAGACTGGTCTCACTCCTGGGGGATTTGCCACCAGAGAAAGGACCCACTCCTCACGGCCCAGGGACATGCTTCTCCCTTGGCAACGCCTGGGGGCTGCCTCCAAGAGCCCTTGAACTAGCCCACCTTATTAAAAAGGATGAGCATGGAAAACATACATCTGGCTGACACGTGACTTTCCTTTTCTGTGCCGAGGGAGGGAAATCACACGGTGTGTTGTTCCAGAAAGCTCTTCCTAACAGCGAGGTTTCAGAGGAAGGTATTGCTAAAGTGAGCTCAAAGTTCATTATTATTTGAGATTTAAAGGGTTCACAGACGAGATGACAAACAGTACTTCAGGCCTTAACGAATGCAGTGTTCCCATTCCCTAGTCCGGAATAACTCTCCCTAAGAGATTCTTGGATATTAGGAAATTATTTTGAATTTTCAGATGTCTTTCAAATATGAAACATAGTATTTTAAAATCAGGTTTAGTAGGTTCTGAATGCTGATTTGTGCAGTTGGCCCTCTTTACAAGTTTTCCAGGATCAGGAGGGTTGTTCATTGGCTAGACTCTGAGCCTCTGGGTCTGATGTATTATCGTGAGTTTCGTGACATTAGAAAAAGTAGATTTCTTCTCAGAATTGTGTTGATTCTCACCAAACTCACTTCAGTCGGTCCCTCCTTCGTTTATGAGTTTTATATGAAACGGGCTGTAGGGGTGCCTGGGTGGCTCAGTTAGGCGTCCGACTCTTGATCCCAGCTCATGTCTTGATCCCAGGGTAGTGAGTTCAAGCCCCACATTGGGCTCCACGTTGGGCATGGAGCCTGCTTAAAAACAGGCTGTAGAGAAGGATTCAGATTAAGATGTGTGTAGCTAGTTCCATGATTCACTCTTGAAAATCAAGATCATTGTTTTATAGTCACACCTCTACCCTCTGGCCACCAAAGCGTGTGAATTTTAAGTTAAGGAGGAAGGGGAATCGCAAGGTTAGACTTGAGAGTGTCCCCTGTTGAAGGGATCACGAGTCCCCTCGTTTGCTTTTGTGCTTCTGTTTAATTTGTCCACTTGTCTTGCTTTTATGATGTGTGTCTTTGGAAGAGGAACCAGATCATGACTTGCATTGCTTCGTACATATGTTATTGTAAAGATAAATGGTAAAAGACGAGTCTCGAGTTCATGTAGTTATTGTACAAGCTGCTGCATTTCTTACCTGGACTCTAAGATACACGCCAGATCATACAACTTGAACTCTGATACCGTAGGAAATCTCCGCACGAATCTTGACGATTAGGATCCATATACGATATTCTACATCATCAAACATAGGGTCACCTTATTTTTTTTACAGACACGGTACATTTCACTTAAGATTTTTCTGGTGATTTGCAAACCTACCACCCAAATCCAGCAGTTTAATCCCTTATCACAAAACATTTCAAAATCGTAGGGCTGACACCAGCCCAGAACACGGCATATGATTGAAACCCCACAGGCGTCAGTGGGTTTGGGGCCTGTCATTGCGTTGGGCAGGGTTTCAGACAGCAGCCAGACCCAGTGTCCGCCCTGATTCTGCAGACTGCCCCTTCTAAAGAGTTGACTCTGAAAGTTACTCGCTGCTGGCTCAGCCACGTCCTGAACGTGCCCCCTGAGCAAGACTTGAAACCAACCCACACCCTCAAAGGTCCTAAAGCGACATAGTGTTTCCATCCTGGCCGAATGGGTTCTCGACTGAAACTGGATTTGACTTTGACAGTCATTTCATGAGAACTCAAAAGGCATTCTTGGTTCAGCCACAGCCAAAGAACTTGCAGAAAATTCTCTGATGAGGTCCTCCAAGTACAACCAAGAGAAGGTAAGAGCGTTTGAAAAGCACCTTGATTCTAACATGGGATTAACAGATTCGCATTTTCACTTTGCATATACATGCATTTGAGGGGATATAGTCAGGCAAGTAGGATTTTAGAAAATTCTAAGAACCAGCTCGTTAGCAATCTTTAGTCTTACTGTGTCTTCAAAAGGATTTTTATTTTGGAGTCAGAATAACGGATGTGAAGAGTAATGGGGAAACGAGGCTCTAGTCTTGTCTTTGCCACCAACTGGCAAGATTTCCTTCCCAGACCTAGCTGCTCCCTCCCTCCAAGGAGATGAGAGTGGGTCATGATTGAAGATCCCTGTAAGCTCCACTCTTCCCTGAGACTAGTTGGTCAGCTGGCCTTTCTCCGATGGGGGAGTGAGGAACTCACATGCCAACCGTACCATCTGTCCAATGCGGTCCTTGGAACCTCCTGGACACAGTGGCATCTCTACATTTTAGCTGGGCTGTGGACCTCCTGTTTTTCTTCCAGAAATTTGAACAAGCCAATATAGTTTTTAGGCACCTGGAAGTGATCTGTTTTTGCTGGACACTTAACAAACTAAGGGATGAAAGGATAATGAATAACTTTTTCAACTCTGGCCTCTTCTACTCTTGAGCCATTGAGAGCAAGCCATTGCAATTCAAACTTCCATCGAAATTAAAACATCAAGCCTTTTTCCTGAAAAGTTGAGACCTGGGGCCTGGCCTCCAGATACAGAGAACACACACATGCAGCTCCCCTCAGTGACTTGATGGGGCCACACGAAGGACATTGTTGACCAGCAGTGCATGACATGGGCTTCTCGAACAGTAACAGGGAAGACCATATACCTTTTTCCTCTTACTCTGAAACACTAAAGACCATTATTTTTAGGGTGACTTACTCGATTTTTACCGTTCATCCTATGACACCAATAAACATCCACGGAAAACATCTTAAAAAAAAGATGGTTAAAAAAAACACTTAAACATCGGTGCCTAATTAGCGGTAGGGACTTCTAAGCAGAAGGTCTGAGATTCAGAACGTGTCTAGCTTCTTCCACTGGTTCCTGCATCGTCACCTCTGAAGTGAGCAGCATGGTGGCGCATCACTGCCAGACTCTTCTGGAATCGGCTCTAACTCTGTGTGCACAATGTATCCTGCCCTAATGTCAGTCGCCTGCCTATGCCACGCTGTGTCCTTACAGCTGTTGTGCGTCACAACCGCGGGTCCTAGAGCTGTCACTGAAAGGCCGAGTGTGGGAACTGGTGGTGTAGATGCTCGGGGTCACTGAGATACCTTTTCCAGCTCTCTTGTTGCAGATAACTTTGATACAGCCTCCCTAGCCCTGCCAGAAGGGGACCAGTCCTCGGGGGAAGTTCCTAATCCAAGCCTCGGGGGCCCCTGACACTTTGGCCTTCTGGACTCCCAGCACAAGTCTTCCACGCCTTCTGTTTTCATAGCTCGCATCCGCGTCACCGGCATTGGACACACAGCCCGGAATCGCGATGAGCTGGGTCTGCTGCCCTGCACCCCCAACCCCCATCTTCACAGAGTTGCTTTGCAAAGCGTGGACATGAGCTTCCCTGAGGCCTTTAGGACTCCTAAGCCTCAATACTGAAAGAAATCCTTTTTTCTGGGTTGGTTGGGTTTTTGTTTTTTTTTTTTTTTTTGGCCTTGACTGTAGCACAGTAGAGGGAAGCTCTAGCCACTCTGTAAATTACAGAGGCACCCGATTTTGTGCATCCTGGCCGTCTCTACTTCCCCACCATGTCATCTGTTGGAGGAGGTCTAGGGAGAGGGGCCCAGTAGTGGTGTTCTGAAGTCTTTGGCATGTTTTCTCTCCAAAGACCTTTGACTTCCAAAAAAAAAAAAAAAAAAAAATTAAGAGGAGTAGGAATTAAAAAACGTTGGTCCTATTCTAGATACTAGCTCTTCCCTGTGGGTCAGTGGCACCTGTTAAATCTTCTGTTTGTAGCCTGAGATCATGTTGCGTCAAGTAACTCCTTTATGAGCCTTTCCCCCCTCCATTTCTGTTTTCACAGCTCCATGGTCTCTGTCAGCTAGCAGAGCATTTTCTGGAAGAAAGACAGCCCAGCCCTTGCCATGATGGGAGAATACAGCCGTTACTATATGAAAGGGGGAATAATGTGGGGGAGAAATTGCCTCTTTACAAAGAGCCAGATTGTCTCCTTATAACCGCCACTGTTTCACACAGAGTCATGGCGATCAAGTCTCTTTACCTTTTTTCTACATTTTGGAATCAACTCATTGCACGATCAAAGATGATCCTTCCCTCTTTTTTTTTTTTTTTTCCTTCCTTCTCTCTTTTTCTCAGAAGATTCGGCAGTCTTTTATTTGGAGCATAAGATGAAGTTGTTCTGGAAAAAAAAAAAAACAGTACAAGCACGTTGTGAAACTTTTTAATATGCAACTAGGGTGTGCAGAGAGAGCAGAGGACAGAACAAATGCAGAGCATGGGTCGCTGGTGCATGCGACCCATGCCTGTGGTGTCTTACTTTTTGGAGTTTATTTCTGTGCTTCCTCTTGAACATGGTATCTGATAATCTTGGAATTAACACTACTTATGGCAAAATAGGAAGCCGTCTGTGTCGTGTCTCATTCTGAAGAAGCTAGCAAGTTCTGCTTCCTTTATATCAAGCCTCGAACGAGTCCTTTCAGGCTGGGGTCTGACTTCATGACCTCATCGGAAACAAGCCACCCTTCAGTTGGGGTTTGATTTCCAGAGTCTGTTGGGCTCAACACAGATCAATGTTTGGCTGATCAAACAGGATGTAGTTGACCCAGTCCGTTCATATGGTGGCAGTGCCCTTGGGAATCTGACTACAAATTAAGGAACAACTACAACAAATGCCTCAGGAATAAAACTTAACCCAGAAACTGAAAGACTTTCGATCTGGAAGTGGATGATTCATAGTGATCCAGAATTCAGAGTGGGATGTTAAACTTGGGAAGTACAGGGTTTGTGAAGATCTGCACCTAATTCAGCAGTCACCATCCTCACTCGAGGAGCCACCGTGCAGTCCAGACGGGGGCGGGTCTCCGCTACGTGTCCCCAGGGCGAGACAGGAGCCCCCGTCTGGTGGGAGGACGTGAGGAACAGGAAGGTGCTTTCACTCAGGAGCACAGTTTGGCGTGTCCAGCTGGAGAGCCCGGAATCCCTAGAAAAATTTCGCCTGGTGGTAGAAGAGAGGTCGATGCCTCCTCTTTGAAAATAGCTTAGACGCTCGCTGGCATCGTCCAGTGTATCTACTGGGAGATCTTTACCTCAGATTGAGATGTTCTTAGAATGATACCACATTCACTTGCCAGGTGTTTTCCAATATAAACAAAATCACCTCAGCTTCAGATGCACAGCTGTACTTGGCAACCCCGTATTTCGAGCTGTCTTTAGTCTGGGTACCGTTGAATATTTTTATACGTTAAGCATTCATGAAGTGCTAAATAAATATGTTATTATTCAGAAGAGTCTGTTGCGTGATTTGTAATCACTGGCCACGTGTTTGCAGGGCCTTCATGTCCATTTGTCCTCGGGTTTCTAGCGCAGGTGGTTTCAGAACCCGAAGGCCATGTCCGATAACTAGAATTTGAGCCAGAAGCAAGCCGGACTTTCAATACAAGTTGTAGACAGCAGGCTGATTTTAATTATGAATGTAATTTTAAAAACGATTTCATTATTGGAACAAGAGGGCAAGGAGCAAAAATAACTAATTTTGCCTAAATTGTTGAAGCAGAATGCCAGTGTTTCCCAAACAATCTAGTACGTGGAATTTGAAGTCTAGGCTTATCTTGTTGAACTGTAAAAATAAATAGATCACTTGGTGATTTGATATATTAGATTTTTTCTTAGTTATGAATATTTAGGTATCCTGGTAACAAAATGGAGGTGTATAGTGAAAAATACTCACCTTTTCCCTCTCTGGTACCACCCTGTAAGGTAATCAGTGTTCACCGTGTGTCTTGTTTTTCTTTACCTCCCCCTCTACTCATACAAATACAAAGGGTTCATTTTTATATTTTTTATAAAATTTATAAAAGACATCAATGTATCACGGGCATCGTTCCAAGTCGATATTTATGAGTTTAACTCATTTTATTTTTTATCTTTTTATCATTTTATTTTATTTTAAGTAGGCCCCATGCCCAGCGTGGAGTCCAATGCAGGGCCTGAACTCACAACCCTGAGCTCAAGACCTGAGCCGAGATCAAGAGTCAGACGCTTAACTGACTGAGCCCCCTCAGGCGCCCCGAATTTAACTCACTTTTATAGCTGCATGGTGTCCCAGAGGATGGATGTGCCCTAGAATATTCAAACATTGTCATAGTGGGGAACATCAAGGTTGTGTTTTCTGGTTTTTCTTTTTCTTTCCCAATAATGGCATAATAGCAATCCTTAGTCACATAGCCTTATAGGCGTGTTTTTATTTTCATGGGATGGGTTCCTAAAAGTATGATTGCTACCTGGGAGGATATGCAGTTTTGATTTTAATAGATTTGCCAGATTATTTACCTAAGACTTGTGACATTTTATTCTTGATGAGAGTACCTGTCTATACACAGCCTTAGCAGATACAGATAATATTAATCTTAATTTTTGCCGATAGGATAAGCAAAAAATGCTGTCTAATTAGTACTTTAAATTTGCATTTTCCCGGGGAAATTTTTATATGTTAACCATTTGCTTTTCCTCTTTTGAGAATTGCTCGTTTGGCACTTTTGCTTATTTTTTCACGGGCTGATTGTTTTTCTCTTATCCGTTTCTAAATCAGCATCTTATTAGGAATGTGTGTTTATCCCAGTATATTATGGGTCTTTTGGCTTTACCATTGTTCTCATGGAAAATTTTATATTGTTATGCAGTACATTAGTATTTTCCCATACTGTGTCTGGGTTTTTTGTTTTTGTTTAAGATTTCCCCTACCCTCATCTTACAGAAAGATAAGCTGTCACATTTTCTTTATCTGTTTCTCTCTCTGTCAGCTATTTGATTTGCCTTTCTTTGTTTAGTCTGATGTGAGGTATGGGTCTTCTCCCAGTTGGACATCCAGTCATGCCAGCACCATTTATGATCAAAACCATCCTCTGCCCACCGAATCGAAATCCCGTGTTTACGTTATTTATTTCCTCTATATTCAGAGAGACTTTCCCAGGATGCCCTCATTTCTTTTTCTCTTGAGCTGGTTCTGCTTTAAAATACTCTAATGGGATTATTAGATTGCTGATATCACTTTTTAGACTCGGCCTTTCTTATATTTTCTCTTATATTTCATATACTTCTTTCTTATATTTCATATATTTTCCTCTGTTCTTGAATTTTATTGTATTCTCAAGGCAGATGCTATCAAGCGTATAATTCTGTTTCCTGTCATAAATGTATAAACGTCTACTGTCCCTTGAGTGCCGTTATTCTCTTCATTTTATATTATGGAATATAATCGTAGGTCAGGGCACGTATTGGGGCAGAGCCAATACTTGTCCATCCCTTATTCTTGCTTAAATGGGTGAATGGGTCAGGACGTGACATTTGCCCAGGATCCATGTCTATAGGTTCTGCTTGGATCCGTACCCACTTTCGATGACTGCTATTAAAATCTTAAACCAGAAGGGAGGCTCTTTCAGGTAAATTTATGTTACATATCAGAGACACAGAAGCTCAAATGGAATACTGAGGAAGGAGAGGGCCCTCATGGGTGAAATTCATCTGTGTCCATTTCCTCACCTGGCGAAACTGGAACGTGGGATCCAGCATTTTGGCCTAGTTTTGCTTGGCCATTGTCTCTTCTAGGGATGTCCTGTGGCTCTTCTTAATCTGCCCCTTTTTGCCACTGTCCTTTTACTAGGATAAACCATCTCTGGCCTCCTCGGACAGTCCTATCTTAGTGTCACTGAGCCCTTGCAGGAAGAGTGCTCTGCGTGCCCAGGGCTTCCCCCACTCCTCACAGCCCTGGCCCTCTAAAGAGGGGACCTCACTGGAGTTTCCCCACGTCTTCATTTTCTTTGAAAGGGAATTGGGGATAAAGCCTTAGTATTTACTTTCCACCCCCCCCCCCCCACTTATTCTCTGTGTAGCAGAAATTCCTCAAAGTCTGAGCCACGTAGATGATCTCTTCCTGTAGCTTCCAGTGCTCACGCAGGATTTTTATGATTCTTACTGCTGGGATTTGGAAACAAAGATGCTTGTGTTCCAACTGCTGTCTTACCCTGTTTGTTTTATGTTTATTTTGAACATGAAATTCGAAAACGAAGTTCGGAAAAACACGGATACCTGAGACACAGAATACTTAACTAATTTCTTTCTCACTCGAGAGCTACAGTTCTCTTAGATTTGTTCCATGCGTAACAGTAAGAAATATTTTGAGAAAATTGCATTCCAGGTTAAGGGCATACAATGAGCAAGGGCACAGAGACAGGACGTACAAGGAACAGAACTTCAGGTAGTTAGGCTTATGGTCCGAAAGCAGGGTGGGTGGAGGGGAGTCCTAGGTGAGAAATCTCTCCATCACCGGGAAGGGCCTGGAGCTGGGCTTGATTCAGTTTTTCAGGCAGGAGCCCTTGCAAACACGTGATCGACATGACTGAGCTTCTTTATGGATACGGATCTGCCAGTTGGGAAGGTAGCAGTTGTAATGTGACCTTTCCCAGGGGCAGTTAACTTCTGAATACTTTGAGTATGTACAAGAGCTCACATATCCTTGGATCAAAATAGACACCACCGCCAGGTATCCTGTATGATGAAGTAGGTGCTGTGGAAAACCCACACTGTTTGAAGACCGTTCTGTAACCAAACAAGGAGACCAGTGAATTAGGGAGATTCGATAACATTTTTAAAATAAAAGATAACTGCAGACACACGTGCATATATACATTTAAATTATAACAAAAGATAGATAAGGTAGACCAACAGTGAGCATAGGACATGGTCCTTGCTTCCAACTGCCCGTCATTCTCAAGTATGTGTTGCTACTTCCTAAGAGCAGATTATTGCATAAAAATAAGAGCAATGAAATACTGATAGTATTTTTTAAAATATGTGTTAAAATAATTTTTAAGAAGAAAGACCGTCAGTATTATTTTTTTAGATAGGCCTGGTATGCCTCACAGGACACCCAGGCGTTACAGAAAATCTGAGAAGGGCATGGTCAAACAGAGCTGGAGTTGCGTCCCAGATTTGCTGTTTACAATCCAAGTGACCTTGTCAAATTTTTCATCTAAAATAAGGGATGATAACTTACAGAGGTGGGTGTTTTTTTTTTTTGAAAATTAAATTAGATAATTTTCTTTGTTTTTTTAAAGACACATAGTACTTACTATGGAGTTATACACATGGGTTTTTTTTTTTGGTGTGAAAATTATCCATTGTTACCATAGCTTTACATTCTGGGAGCAGATGGAAACATGCCTTACTTGGGTTGTCTTCAACATGGCGCCTGAGCACGTGGTGGCTGTGTCATCTGAGATGCCCCAGAAGAAAGAGGGTCTGGTTCAATGCTATAGAGAAACCGAATGCACTAGGCTTGTTGAAAGCTGGTATGTTTTGTGTGCAGTTGTACCTTCAAAACCATGGAAGCTATACTTCTGGGTGATTCAGGGCATTTTCGAGGCTCACCTTGACTCTATATATGTGTGATTTTTGTTTTACAGATTGAACCTTCGAGTCTAACATCTGTCTTTAGGAGGCAATAGCTAACACAGAACAGATCCTTAACCAGTAGTGGTACCTTGAAGGTTTTCCTGTATTTAATGAGTTTGCTGCCATACACCTGGCTATATGCTTAACATTTCTTAATGTCCTTTATAGAATACAGAGTCTTATTCTTCCTTGGACCAGAGAAAATGTAATACTTCATTTCTTTCTATGGTTCTTCAATTCAGGCTTTGTTTTGTAAATCCCCTTACCCACCCCCCCCCCCCCCCCACACACACGCACACGCACGCACGTCCCTGTTACAACATGGGGGGTGTTTAGTTCAGCAGCTTCTCTGATCTTAAACAACTTGCAGAGTTTTCTCAAACTGACTTCCTGTTCTAGCCAAGCAGACTGATCCGTTGAAATATGGTCTTTGGATATCTAAAGGCAGGAGGCCTGGGAATTGGCTCTTACCACCTTGCTAGGTTTTTACGGAGTCCATAGGACTCCTGTTTATCATTTGGTATATGGAATCACAGAAAACTTAGGTAATTGAAGGAAACACTTGAGCAGATGTAGAATTACTTTCATTAAATTATCAAGGAATGAGACGAAAACGAATTTTTAGACAAGATCTCCCTTTGAAGGGTGCCCTGAGTTTCTGCAAAGCCCTTGGTAGCTGGTCCTTTAAATGGACTGGTGAGGAAGTGGCCCACTTTGTTTCCGACCTTCCTTGGAATGGCCGGTTCGGAAACTGGAGATTTTTTTTTTCCCTGCTTATACCTGACCTGATTTCATTCTCTTTCTGCATCTTCCACACCTGATTTTATACTGCATAACGCACCGGGGAAAATACAAAAAAACCCAACTCATTCAATTAAAACATTTTCTGAAATTCCTGATTTTTTTTTCAAAGAAGTCACCAGTGTCTTGGTTTTTTTTGTTTTTTTGTTTTCACTCCAAAGAAGGGCTGTGGAGACAAAGGTGTGGTTTAAGTTCTGCTTCACTTAAACGTTTTCTGTTCAAATTGATCACAGAGCAACAGAAGGAAGCTTCGAGAACTAAGGACAAATAAATCCATAACCGAAGCTTGTGAGAACTGATCCCAAAAGATCAGTAAATAAATATTTTAAACTTCCACTGACCTTATTAAAATACACTGCCAGAAATACTCTGTTTGAGCCATTCTCATAAATTAGTCATCTTCTTGCAAAACAGCTGGTGACAGTTTGCTATAACGAAAAGAGCAGTGCCTCAGAAATCAGAAGACTGAGAGATCTTGCCTTGGTTCCGTTCACAGGGAGATTAAATGACATGCTAATGTGTCCCGGATGAGGAGGCCATGCATGAGAGGACTGAATCAGATGATCAGTCTTTAAAAGACTCTCTCATGAGTCTGTGCTCGAAGTTAGAATCTGTAGGAAGAGCTTATCAAGAATGTTTGGGTGAGACTAGAAGCTTCGCCTCCCGCAGCATTGCAGGGTTTACTAAAGGGACTGTTATGGTTCCCTCTCTGAGGGCAAATTATGTCCAAATCGGGATTCTGTTGCACATAGCAGATCACTATCTGGTTGGCTCAAGCAGAAAGGCCTTCAGCAGCCTGCGGGGTTGTTGGGAGGGCTGAAGAAGCAGACTCTAGGCTGAGTTTCCAGGAACAACTCCCAAAGCCACAATACAGAACTGGGCTATCGGGGGTGGGGGGAGTCTCAAAATCAGGATGTCAGCTGCCCAGCTGGAAAGCTACCCCCTCGGTTACCAACAGGAAATGCCCTGTGCCCTGCCTCCCTGCCCTTGACTCGGGTCCCGATCCAGGTCTTGTCCTCATCTTTCTGATGGGTAGAATCTAAATCTGAGCTCCTAGGTACAGGGGAGTCCTGAGATGACATCTTCCCAACCTCTGTGTCCCAAATGGGGCTTGAAATATACCCTCTGAGAAGCCAATCTATTGTATCCACCGTGGACAATATAGCTACACGTTTATGATAAATAACATTTGTATTTATTTATTTTTTTTACAATATGCAGAGTCGAATTAAGATCCTTTTTGTTTAGAGCTAATGTCAAGTCCTTCTGTCTCTAAAAATACTATTATTGGCCATTCCCAAGGAAACGTCTCTGATAAAAATTGAGAGCAAGACCTGTATTATTTCCTGGAGAGGCAGACCTGATACAGAAAACAGGATTTGAAATTTGGGATCCTCCTTCCAGATTTGTCTTCTCCACCCTGGTTCTGTTTTCATCTGTGTCTCTTCCTCCACGCCCCCCCGCCCCATGGGACCATCCTCCACCTTTTCAATTGGATGTGCTCTTTACCACGCAGACCTGTGAACGAAGAGTCAGAGCCGCCCGAGGTTGAGGCTCCCGGCCGGTGGCATGGTGTCTACGTGAACAGAACGTCTCCCACACCTTCAGAATCTGCGACCACCGTTAAGTCCCTCATCAAGTCATTCGACTTGGGACGGCCAGGTATTTCATCCTTACGTCTCATGAGCAAAAGTCACATTCAGACCGTGGCCCCATGTATCAAGCCTGTCTCTACTCCCCACTGGCCCCGAGTGGATGCAACCACAAGGGCTCTGTCTAGATCGTTCCACACGGAGCCGGTGTGTCCAAGAGACCTGCCCACAGCCAACTGCACAGACTCAGTTGCACAGTTCCTCAGTTTCCTAGGAAATGAAGCCTCTGGTTGGCCCGGCTCATTCTCATGAGGCGCTAAGAGGGAAGTGGTAGTAACCTGAGTTTAATGGACACAGAGGCAGAAAAGGAACGGAAGACGTGCAGAGAAAGAGGAGATTGTGTTACATATGAGCCAGACTCCTCACTGTCTTCTTGTGTAGTTGGCTTGTCTCGTTGGACCCCCGGCCTTCCTCCCCTCCCCTGTTAGACCTTTCTCTGCGTGGTCTTGTGTGTGAACACCCGTCCTGACCTGTCATTCCTGATCTTGAACATTTGCAGCTTTTTCTAGAAACGTCTCTCTGGCCCACCGTTCACCTTCCTTCACTGTTAACTACATGTATGAGAAAAATGCATGTCTATACACACAAAAATGTAGTAAATAAGAGAAACCGAATACGCATCTGTCCAAAATAGCAATGTATTTCTTCTCTCGAGCACAACAGTTATGCCTGTTGTATAGAGAGACTGGAGTCAAAGCTGATGCTAGGATGTACCTGGTTATCTTCGCTAAAATGGTTCGCAGCTCAGTTAGATTAAGATGAGACCACGAATATTAAAAGATGCGAAGGCCCAGTGACTACATTCAGTCCGTGAAGATGGGAAGTGAGGTAACAATAATGGTTTGTGCAAGAACTTTCCTGTTCCTTCTTGCCATGGATGCCTCCTCACATGTGTTTTCTTGTCCCCCGTGTGTCCTACCTCTAAGACCAACCCCCATTTAGTCGATACTTTTGTAGTAACAAATCAGGAGCTACTCTTTGCTATTTGGAACTGGAACAACATAGAAATGTTCCCATCTCTTTTCTTGGCAGGTGGAGCCGGACAGAATATTTCTGTCCATAAAGCCCCCAGAAGTCCCCTGAGTGGGATTCCCGTGAGGACCGCTCCCGCTGCTGCTGTCTCCCCAATGCAGGTATTTTGAGGGCCTTGGGTATGTGGGTGGTGGTCCAGGCCATGTGGAACCGTGATGCTGTCTAATGCTCAGGCAACAGAGGGGAAGCGAAAACCACTTGGTCTATTTTTTGAGGCACGTTGAATATCATTTTTAATAAGTGTAGAATAATAATAAACTTCTGTTAAAAATTATGATTTTGTGGGGTGCCTGGGTGGCTCAGTCGGTTGAGTGTCTGCCTTCGGCTTAGGTCATGATCCCAGGGTCCTGGGATCAAGTCCCACGTCGGTCTCCCTGCTCAGCAGGGAGCCTGCTTCTCCCTCTACCTCTGCCCCTCCCCCGCTGCTTGTGTTCTCTCTCTCTCTCAAATAAATAAATAAAATCTTTTTAAAAATTACAATTTTAGGGCACCTGGGTGGCTCAGTTGGTTAAGCGACTGCCTTCGGCTTAGGTCATGATCCCAGAGTCCTGGGATTGAGCCCCACATCGGGCTCCCAGCTCAGCGGGGAGCCTGCTTCTCTCTCTGACCCTCTCCCCTCTCATGCTGTTTCTCTCTCGCTTGCTCTCTAATAAATAAATAAATATCTTTTAAAAAATTAAAAATTAAAAAATAAAAAATTACAATTTTGAGGCTAAATAAAGGTGTGAGAGAGACACCATAAGTCTCATACGATTTGTTAAGGACATTTTGTCCCCCGTAAGATACATTTAAAGTTTTCAGTTGAAGATTATAATTTTTACCAGAAGCGGATATTGAACTAGATATTTTTCTCAAAGAAGTGTTTGGTTTTGTTTTGTTTTGTTTCCTGAAGCACCCCAGAGAGAGAAAATGTTTACAATTTATAAATTCTTAGAGTTCACTGGTTGCAATCTGTGTCACCTTTACCATCTTTGGAAGGTTCTAGATCAGAGCTTCTTGACCTCTTGGCATTTTTTCTTTCTTTTTCTTTTTTTTTTTTAATTTTATTTTTAAGTAAATAAACATATTTTGCACCCAACATGGGCACTCACAACCCCAAGATCAAGAGTCACACGCTCCATGGACTGAGCCAGCCAGTCACCCCTCTTGGCGTTTTCTAAGACCACGACTTTCAGTGTTATTAGTAACATTCAGCAGCTCCTGCTGAACCAAGGGCAGCATCATTCACAAGTACCCTCTTTCGGTGTCCTTAGTAGCCATATATGTTGTTTGGGATCTTTTAAATTCTTCTTGTTTTTACTTTTTTGCCCTGGAAGATATTTTGTGCCACTTCACATGTAAAACCAAGTAAAACAATTACTTATTTTATAATAATCATCAAGTTTATTAAATGAAACTGCAACAGACCATGCTTCATTTTGACTTATTTTCATTGAGCTAGACACACTAGGTTGCTGACAAAATGTTTAACAACTGGCTCCTTGCCGGGGGTAGGGGTGCGGGGGGAGCCCGGGTTTGTGATGTTGGCCAGTTTCCATGGTGCAAATATTCCCATCACTGTTAGCATCAAGCTAGCCCCCTGACATCAGTGAACATGGAGTTGAGAAGAGATGTGTATCACATGGTATTTCTAGACTACAGGTGGAGTGGGTGTAAATAACCCCGATCATAGTGTGAAGTATAATAAATAGGAAACATTTTGAGTATTTATTACTTTTGCTTTTAATATAGTTTAATTTTAATAGTGGCCGTGTTGAAAACTAGCTTGCAAAATTCCTGAAGATTTAACAATTGGCCCTTATGCGCAGGTATACACCACCACTATAATTCACGTATAAAGTAAAGCACACACCTCTTACGTATATACAGCTTGAATGTTTCCGTACACACACACCCGTGTAGCCAACACCAAGATAAAGCATTTTCATCAGCTCAGAAGGCCCCCTCACGCCACCACCCAGTGGGTAATCCCTTAAAGTAGCCATCATTCTGACCTCTATTAGCATTAGATTAATGTTACACTGACCTAATCAACGTAAAAGAGAGTGAGTTAGAGGCGCCTGGGTGGCTCAGTTGGTTAAGCGTCTGCCTTCGGCTCAGGTCATGATCCCAGGGTCTTAGGATCAAGCCCCATGTCCTTCTTGCTCATGCTGTCTTCTTACTATCTCTGTCTCTCCCTCTCTCTCTCAAATAAATAAAATCTTTAAAAAAGAGAGAGAGAGAGAGAGAGAGAATGAGTTAAAAAATCTCCCATGCTCCCTAGCCCCAAAATAACCACTGTTTATGGCTTGTTGTGTATCCTTCTACATGTTTTTCTTCAGTATAAAAATGTGTGTGTGTGTAGGGAGGAGGAGAAAGTTTTATAAATTGGATTATACTGCACGTTGTTCAGACACTGACTCATTTCACTTTGTCGTTGGAATGTAATCCCTGAGGGCAGGGATTTTTTTTTTTTTTCTTAAGACAGAGAGAGTGGGTACATGTGTGCGCATGTGAGCAGGGGGTAGGGGGGTAGAGGAAGAGAGAGAGAGAATCTTAAGCAGGCTCTACACCCAGCACAGAGAGGGCAGGGATTTTTATCTATTTTTGCTTGCTGTTATATCTCTTGTCTGGAACAGTGGCTGGCACACAGTTCTATCACAGAGAAGCTCGGTAGATGTTGAAGGAATGAAGGACTGTATCAGAGACATCTTGAGATGTCAGTGTTTGGAGAATAACGCGTTCTTAAAGGCTATGGAATGTGTAGTGTGATCTGTTTAACCACTCCTCTATTGATGGGCATGTAGGTTGTTTTGGATTGCAAAAACAATACAGTGAAATCCCTTCTGTGGATTCACCCACTTTTAAGGGGCTCTTCCCACAGGAGAGCATATCACCATTAGCTTGCAAATACCGGAAATCACTCTAGCTCGTTCCCGCAGAAAGGAATTGAATACAGGGAGAACTCTGGTCTCCACTGCGCTTCCAGGAAAGGTTCCCAGAACATCTAAAAGTTGCCCCATGAAAGGGACTTCTATTGCTGCCAAGTCTTTCTCTGAGGGCTTGCCTAGAACTACGGCTTCTGTCAAAATTTAGCATATCCACTTTAGGCTCCCACTGCCACAGACGCGGTCCCTCCCAACATAACAGATACTGTCCTCCCGGGTTTGTTCACATCATAGCACGTGTGACCGGATTTCCTTCTTTTTAAGGCTGAATGATATTCCATTGTGTGTACAGACCACATTTTGTGTATCCAAACCATTGGTCCGTGGACGTGAAGGTTGTGCCCACCACTTGGCTATTGGGCCTAATGCTGCATGCGAAAATCTCTTCTAGATGCTGTTTTCAGTTGTTTTGGGTATACCCAGAAGTGGGACGGCTGGATCACACAGGAGCTCTGTTTTTAATTTTTTGAGGAACCTGCCTCCTGTTTTCCATAGTGGATGCAACATTTTCTAGTCCTGCCAACAGGGCACAAAAATTGCAATTTTTCCACATTTTTGCCCACACTTGTTTTCCCTCTCTCTCTCTCTTTCTCTCTCTCTTTTTAAATAATGACCCTCCTAACAGGTGCCAGGTGGTATCTCGTTGTAGTTTTTCATTTACATTTCCCCGATGATGAGTGAAGTTGAGCATCTTTCCATATATACCTGTTGGCCATTAAAAATCAGTATTTTTACACACCCCCTTGAATATATGTAGAATTTTCCAGGAAGGTACTCACAAAGCTGACTACTAATGATTACCCGCAAAGAGAAGAACCAGGTCATGGGAATCAGAGGGACACTCTTCTCACTATATGGCCTTTCTGTGCCTTTTTGAGCATTGTGTCAACTGCATTTGTTACCTATTCAAATAAATAAGTTGTTTTAAAAGCTTCCCCTGGTGATTCTGATGAGCTTGAGAGCCGTTGCATGGACGCGCGCACACACACACCTTGTTTATGCTGTTGCTGGTGTCACAAGCTCACCTCTGCTGGTGTGCCCTTTGGTTTTTTAGAGACATTCGACCTACAGCAGCGTTCGGCCGGCCAGCAAAGGTGTGACTCAGCGTTTGGATCTTCCAGACCTTCCCCTCTCAGGTAATACCTTAAACACAAACGCTTCAGATGCCTGGGTGGCTCAGTCGGTTAAGCATCTGCCTTTGGCTCAGGTCATGATCCCAGGGTCCTGGGATCGAGTCCCGCGTCCGGCCCCTTGCTCAGCAGGGAGCCTGCTTCCCCCTCTGCCTGCCGCTCCCCCTGCTTGTACTTGCTCTCTCTCTCTCTGACAAAGAAATAAATACAGTCCTTAAAGAAAAACAAAACAAAAAACAGCAAATACTTTCAACTCATTATTTTGTGAGGTTAACTTTTCTTCTTTACCCAAAACCGAGCTTAGAAAAATAGCTGATGGCATTTATTTCAAACAATTTAAGACTCTATGTGTTTGTGTTCTGGACGTTAGGTCCTACTTCCTGCCTCTGTACTTCTCAGTGTGCAGATGTTCGGGAGAAGTGTCTAGCTTTCGGGAGGTTTTCTGTTTGTTTTTTACAGAATCTCAAGAGAATATCTTACCATCTTTAAAAGTAACTATTTTTAGAAAAAAATCTTATCTGATTCTGAAGGTCTCTTGCTTCCACAATTCCTAAAATATGCCTCTTCAGTGATATCTTTGCCCTTGAGTATAGCCCTCCTCCTGTTGTTACTCCGGGTATTTTTAAAATCCAGATGCTGACGATGACGTGGTGGTTAGAATCCACAATCCTCCATGTCACTTTGTCACTGCCGCTCCTTGCGTGCTGGTGGCCGATGTGAAGCCGCAGTTACAGAGGGGGGCACACAGGGGTGGGCTTATATCTTGGTCCCATGATTCCAGCTCTCTGGGCTGTGGTTTCATCATCTCTGAAACAGAAATAGTGCTGTCTCCCTCAGAGGATCGCCCCAGGGGCCGAGCGAACACAGCCGGGTGTGGGGTGAGCAGAAGGGTTGACCTTCACCTTAGCTTCTCTTCCCTTTCCCGTCAGTTCACCTGTCAGAACAGAGAGGCATGAGTGGAATGGTAAGCTTGTCCCGAAAATATGCCTCAGAAATGTATGTATATGACCCTGTGGCCCTTGTTGTAAGGCAACACAAAAGATGAACACTAAATGAATTATTTACTGGTGCCTGTTGGAAGAAAGCCAGAAATCCAGGTTGCATCGATAGAAATCCCTTGTTTTTAAGCGTCAGACCAAATTTCTGTAACACAGCTACGGAATCAAAAGGAATTCCCACTGTTCTTCTTTTAGATTATGGTCAAACATAGATTTATTCTGAAAATAGTTGTTTCTATGAGATAAGTTTCACGTTTTGACTGGAAGGTCTTTTACCTCACCACCTTATTTTTTTCCACTTCTGAACTTCGTTTTCTTTTTCATGGCATAAGAGGATTTTAGACTTAAAGATATTGAGATATTTAGACTCACTGATATTGAGAATTTGAAGACTACCTTAGCCCATCCCTTGCATTTTACATGTGAGAGATTCAAGCCCTACAGAGATTAAGTGATTTATAATGCCCCTCCCCCCCCCGATTTTGAATGGCTCTGGGACCAGGATAGGATTTCTTGTGATTCTTTCTACCATGCTGCCTTTTGGTAATGAGGCGGGGGATTGCTCTGATCAGCAGCCTCATAAAGAAGTGATAAAAGTGTCTTATAGAACTTGGAGTCATAATAATGACTCCAAGGAAGAAGGAAATGGTGTCTAAGGGCAGGAGAATGAGAAAAAAACAGAAGGGGTGAGTAAGTCCAGCAGAGCAGATCATGATATTTCTGTGCAAACCGAGCACTCCCTTCCTAGAAATGGAAGGGAGGTCAGCACAGGGTATTGGAAACCCACCTGATTTGCATTCTCTACACTTGCTGTGTAGTGGAAATTTGGGGATAACTTGGTTATGTGCACAGTGATGTGTACCTAGGCAAGCCTTTTTTTTTTTTTTTTTGTAATTGTGGCTAAAATACACATAACACAAAACGTACCATCTTAACCATGTTGAAGTGTACCAGGTGAGCTTTTGGTCATAATATTTGTGTCTCCTCTATGCCTCCCACTTTACCTTTTGTGTAAAGAAGCTGTTGTTTTAATTGACAAGCTAAATCCTGGTGCTCAAACCACAGTAGCTGTTGCCCTGAAGTAAACAGTTCCTTGTCAGCGCCCCCTCCCCCTTTGCCCCCACCAGGCACCTGTCTACTCGGATGATTCTATTTACTATACTAAAAAAGGATTACACGGTAAAAACTGCTTTGCTTTCAGGCTAGCCTTGCCAGCTTTGAGGTCATCAGAAGCTGCCAAAACGGGATTAATGCACTGTTTTTGTTGTTCTCTTTAGTGATGTAAGCACTGTTTTTCCTCTCCTCTTCCAAGCTCATTAGCCTCACTCCCTGCTTCACGCCCCATAATTGGCGGCTCTTAGCCGTACAAGTATTGTTTTCTTCCATCACTATTTATGGTGTCATAGGAGGTGACCGTGGGCCCAGCCTGGTCACAGAGGCCTGTCGTGTGGCATTGAGCAAGTCACCCCATCCTCTGAGCACCCGTTGCCTCTGTCAATACAAACCAGACACTCTGGAAATTTCTGTGCTCTTGTGGTCCTTGAGGGACTATCATCTGGAGGATTCAGCCTGTTTCGTTAACCTGTTTTGACTCCTACTAAAACAGCAGAGAGGAGCCTTCAAAGAATTTATGTTTGCTTATTTTTAGCAAGCCAGACCCTATGACTGGAGTGGCTTTTTTTTCCTTGTAAAATCGTTACCATTCTTGGTACCCAGGTTTTTGTCTGCTGCCACCTGTGACTTGAAAATCCCATTGGGCATCTTTGTGCCAGCTCTCTGTCTCTCTCAGATGCCCATCGACTAAAACAAAGTGCTTTACTTGGGAACAGGGCTGGCTCTGTGGGGGTGTGACCTGTGCAGGGTGCTTAGAAGGGCTTTGGCTCAAGGCTCTGCGGGTGCCATCTTGAAATTCTTAATTTTTGAATGACGGGCTAATTTGGCATTTGTGTCTATGAATTATGTAATCAGTCCTGCCTGGAGAATCCTTTCTAGAAAAGGCCATGTCCCTATGTGCACTTTTATTCCTTAATCCAGAAACTCTCTAAATCTATATTTATTACGTATTTGTACTTAGGAAGAAAATGAGAATTTTATTGTACTTGAGAAGAAAGTGTGATGATCATTCAAATTTCTCTTCTTCAGGAATAGGTGATTATGTTGTTCTTCACACAGATCTCCTAAAGGGAAGGGGTGAGGACCTGAAACCGGACCCTTATCTCCGGAAGAGTCCCTCCCTGGAGTCTCTGAGCAGACCCCCTTCTCTGGGCTTCGGGAACACGAGGCTGCTGAGCGCTTCCACCGGGGGCTTGAAACCACAGAGCAAACTCAGGTATCACATTTTACACAGTGAGACATCACTGGGCCGATGACCTTGTAATCTTCCTTCTGTTTTACCCTCTGTGGTCAGTTTGCTCGTATGTATATTTCCTGAGTGAAACCAGACACGGTACCTGCCTTCAACGAGGGAGGAGGGCCCTGGACAGCAGGACTGTGCAAAGCGAAAGAAGGGCTGTAAAAACAGAAATACATGCAGACTCTTGCGGGGGGTTGTTACTTGGGTCAAGAAGTCTGGAGGCGGGGAGGCAGCATTTCTGCCAGGGGGCCTGCAGGGGTCCCCGGAGGAGCTCTGCACAACATTCAGGGGACTGGGGGTGGTTTCCTTTGGTTAGACTAGCCTGGGGGCTTCAGGAGGGGAGGGGCCCTGGCAGACGCACCATCAGCAGCTGGTATCTGCTGGGGAGGCGGGTAGGTGCTCAGGATATCACGGCTGGAAAGGCGGGTTGGAGTCCCCTTGCGAATGGTCTTCATCGCCATGGTTAGAGGTTTGTACTCATTTTGGTAAAGCAGTGGGGAACCACTGAGTTTGCAGAATTTGGGTTTGGAGCCGTGGTCCAGGAAAACAGTGGCATATAGGAAGGATTGGAGGGGCATTTTGAAGTCAGCGTCGAAAGAGCACATTAGCAGTGACGTGAGAGGCGGAGTGGGGGCGAGAAGGGACAGAGACTGCCAGGGCGGCCACCAGAGGCCTGGCGTGGCTCCCGCCTCTGCCACGTCCTCCCTCTTCAGTGCACCTCCTCCCCCAGACCCCAGCAAGCCGCCTCCAGCCACTTCCCACCCTCCCCTCGCCCACTGCTTCTCCCTGTGGAGTCCGTCTTCGAAAACACGGAGTGCCTCCCGTGCAGACCTTCTCAGAAACCTCCTGTGACTCGTCATGCACCCTTCCACCCACGCTCCTTGTCTGCGCGGCTTAGCCCCGCCCAGCTCACCTGCCTCTTTTATTCTTAGCCTTTGCAGCTAACAGGAGCATTTGCCACCACTCACAGGGGCCTGGCCTGAATCGTCTCCCTCCTGTCCTTTCACACTCCTAAGCGCTTCCCCTGCAAAGTCAAACCCTCCCGTGCCCCAGTGGCTCAGTCGGTTAAGCGTCTGTCTTCGGCTCAGGTCATGATCCCAGGGTCCTGGGATCGAGCCCCGCATCGGGCTCGCTGCTCAGTGGGGAGCCTGCTTCTCCCTCTGCCTCTGCCCCTCCTCCCCGCTCGTGCTGTCTTTCCCTCGCTCTCTCTCTCCCTCCGAATAAATAAATAAAATCTTAAAAAAAAAAAAAGTCAAACCTTCCACGAGGTGGTAGCGAGCCACCCGGGTGGCATCAACACCCCCTTTCTCTGCCTTCCGTGTCTTACGCTGATTCAGGTGTTGAATGCACTGTTGCATCGCGTGTGTGCCTTTGTCCCCATTTATTTAGGCTGTACTTTAGTACACAGTAAATATCTCAACTCACGCTTTGATCTCTTCCCCGGCCCCCTGGGCCATGCTACACACGCAGCATTGCATCCAGCCAGTGCGTTGGAATGGGTAGATGGATGAATATACAAAACTAGCCACTTTGGTAGTAACGGCTACGTAACAAACATTCTAACTCCCATTATGAGTATTGTAAAAGGATTTTATGAAAGTCTGAATAAGTTCAGCTCTTGTCATATCTTTGGGTGTAGCTTATATTTGGACCCAAATAGATGAAGTCATATCTTTCAGAGATTTAACTTAAAGCCCCAGATACTACATATTAGCCTTGTTTATGCACAGGAGATTTAAGTGATCAAAACTAGTTTTAAGGACCAGAATTAGTGCTTTCCTGAAACTGCTCTTTTCTTTATGCCAGAAATGCGTACAAAAAGGCTATGTGTGTATTAATATGCAATTTATATTATACCCTTCATCATGAAAGATTAAATTAGTGGAGATTAATGTGTTATTTTATTTTTGTATTCACGTCATTGAGACAAACAAATGACAGGATAGAAATCACTTGTTTTGGAAGTTCTCATCCTATTATTATTAATTTGGAGAGCGCATAGTATCTATTTAACCTTATTTTTTAAAGAAACCTGTTCAGTTAGTATTTTGGGCATCCACAGATACAGAAACTCTTTTCCAAACCTTCATTTCAGTCTTCCCTAGTTTGTCAGACCTAGAAATTCAGTTCTAAGTGATGAAGTAACAAGCAGAGGCAAAGTTACTGTAACTTCATAGTTAACAGTGACTCTGACCACAGAAACTCTCATGGACTTAAGTTGACAAATATGCCAAGGTGCAAGGGACAATAGCCATCAAATTACACAAAAATTTTAATGCAGTTATGACGTTTTCTTAAAAATCTCTCTACCTTAATTCAGATTGCTGAGGTCTGGAATCATCCCATTACTCCTTAAAAATATTTTAAAGTATTTTTATTGAGGGGCGCCTGGGTGGCTCATTCAGTTAAGCGGCTGCCTTTGGCTCGGGTCGTGATCCCAGGGTCCTGGGAGCCTGCTTCTGCATCTGCCCCTACCCCCGCTCGTGCTCGCTCGCTCGCTCTCAAATAAATAAAATCTTTTTTTAAAAAGTATTTTTATTAAGTATCAGAATGATACAAAATAGTAACAATAAAATATGTGTAAGGCATAAAGAACCACAGTGCAGCTGCATATTGACCTTCCAGTTTAAGGAAAAGAAAATTATTATTACCATTGACATTTCCTGTCAGCCCCCCTTCTCTGCCCCACTCCAAGGTCATCACTGTCTCAATGATATATGTTGTCCTTTGCTTTTCTTTCCCAGTCTCAGTGTGTATGCTTGTAGCCCCAAACAATAGCAACAATATATTACTACACTGAAAATTTTATATACATGGATACATGTTGTGATTTTTTTCTTTTTTTATTTCAAAATTGTTCCTGCTGTTCATTCAAGTTACTGCATACACCTGTGATTCATCAGTTTTTATTGCTGTATAGTATTGCATTGTATGAATACACCACCGTTCACCTGTTTTCCTAAGGATGTACATTTGATTGTTTCCAGTTTTGTAGTATAAAAAAGTGCTGCTATGGGCATTCTTGAATATGTGCTCTGATGATATATATATCTAGGGGTAAATCCTTGGTTTCACGGGTTTTGAATTGCACGGGTCCACTCCTATGTGGATTTTTTCTGACAAATACAATACAGTAATATATATTTATTTTTTCTTTTTTATGATTTTTCTTAATAACATTTTCTTTTCTCTAGCTTACTTTATTGTAGGAATACAGTGTACAATATACATAACATACAAAATATGTGTTCATCAACTATATGTTATCAATAAGGCTTCCTGTCCACAGTGGGCTATTAGTAGTTAAGTTTGGTGGGGGGGAGTCAAAAGTTGTACATGGATTTTCAGCTGTGTGCAGGGTCAGCACCCCTAATCCCCATGTTGTTCGGGGGTGAATGTACTCTTAAACTGTTGCCTATTAACAGTTGATGTTCCAGAGATGCATCAACTTTTATTTCTGCTCTCTTCCTGCATGCTGTTCCAATGCTGGAGGAATATAATTCTCAGTTCATGATAGTCATCATGGAAGAAACTGTGTGATCTTAAATCCCTTGGTAGTATGTGGATAATCTTAGGTAGTGTAAAGATTAACAGATGTCTACAGCAAACTGAGAACAGGACACCTAAAGCTCTTGCTCTTAGAATGCTATCGTGTATTCATTAGTAAAATCATTTCCTTTGGCTAAACAGGTGCTCGGAATTGAGTTAATGTAGCACAAAATGTGGAGTGCTACCTTTGGTGTGTGCAAAGACCCTCTTTTGAGTCGTTTTTACTGATTTTCATCTTGCATCTCCCTTCCCAGCACCTCTCCATAAGCAGCCAATCTGGTGTTTTTAAATGCCCTTTCGGTCTACCTTTTATGTGTTATGTAGACATAGGTGAAGCCTTGAAACTTGCGGAGTATTTTTTTCTATAGTGTCTTTAATTAAAATGATACTGTACTTAAGTAAATAAAGGGCTGGATGGATGGAGCCAAGAGATGGATTTAAAAAACAAAACAAAACAAAACCAGCCTCTTTCCAGACTTCCGATAGCCAAGAAATGTACAATTCAATTTTTCTTTCGTATCGTGAAACATAAAATGAAATGTATCATTGATATGACTGATTTGGTTGTTTCTCTTGAGTCTCCCTGGATAGACCTAGACTTTTGCTTTTCTAATCTAGTTATTTATTTCATATATACTTGAAGGTTCTAAACATTAGCGTCTTCTCTTTACTCTGTGCTCTTCTTTCTAACCAGCGTGGAAAGAAGAGACCCGCTGGCTGCCTTGGCCCGGGAATATGGCGGCTCCAAGCGCAATGCTCTCCTGAAATGGTGCCAGAAGAAAACAGAAGGCTACGCAGTAAGTGACAGCGTCGGCCAGCCTCCAGCCAGCCCTGGGCAGCAGCAGTCCTATGCCTGTATTGGTCCTGTGCATGCATATGCTTGGCGTATAATTGTTGTCCTTCCATTCTCCTAGGGAGGGCTGCCAGTGGTAGTAGAGTTTGCTGTGGTGCCCAGATAGAGGCAAGTAGGACTGAAAGCCAGTCCACCCAACAAACCATGGACCTCAGTGCAGGTCTGCGTCTCCTGCAGGAAGGGCCAGCTTTTTCTTTGCTCAGAGGAGCTATGAACTCCGCAAGCATTGCGCCCAGCAGGCGGCTTCAGTCCAGGGAAGGCAGCTTTTGCCGAACCACCTTCCCGAAGAGGGTGCCTTTCCCTAATTGACACAAAGGCCCCACTTAGGTGGCCCTTCAAAAGTTTTCTTTACTTTGGAGCTGTTTGCATTTAAAGTTTCAGTTTATTAGGACAGTATTTGTCTTCTGGGAAGGTTACACGAGGAAGTAGTACTTGATAGAAGTGTAAGCTTTGTTATTATGAAGTATCATCTAGAAAGATAAAAATTCATCAAATATAAATTATAGTTTTATGGATTGTTATGAAGTGAAAACCCAGGCCGTCACTACTCCCATCCAGAAATAGAGCATTGTCAATTTCCCCAAACCTTCCGTGTGACTTTTTGATCCTACCCCCTTCCCACTCCCAAAGACAACTGTTGCCCTCTGTTCTTTTCCTCGTGGCTTTCCACAAAAAGCAGGCATCCCTGAATGCTCTGTTAGTTTTGCCTGTACTGGAACTTTCCATAAATGAAATCAAAAACTGTCCTATCTGCATTCAGCTTTCTCCTACGGTGTGAAGTTATCAAGGCTTACCAGTTCATTCATTTTCTAACCCCTTTGGAACCTATTATGTGATCACACCCATTGCCTGTTTACCCCTTCCATTCTTGCTGGACAGATGAGTTATTTCCAGGTCGGGGCTGTCGTTACGTGGTGCTGGTACGTTTTTGTCCGTGTCTCTCAGAACACAGGTGCGCTCATTCTTTCTGGATCCACACCTAGAAATGGAATTACTGGGCCATCGGGTGTGCCTATATTCAAGCATGGTAGATAGTGCCAAACAGATTTCTGAAACAGTTGTACAGTTTACCTCCCCCCAGCAAGTGAGGAGAGATCATTTCTCTGCATTTTCACTGATAGCACCAGTCTTGGTACTCCCAGTCTTGGGATAAGTGTGTAGAGGTATCTCATTGTGGTTGGGATCTGCACTTCCCTGCTGGCTGATGAGGCTGAGAACTTTTCCACATGCTAACTGGACATCTGGGTAATCTCTTTGGGGATGTGCCCTCCCTGTCTCTTGCCCATCTTAAAATCAGATTGTCTGTCTTTCCCCTCTTGCTTTCAGGAGCTCTTGGTATATTCTGGGTACCCGTCCTTTGTCAGATAGACGTATTGCAAATATCTGCTCCCAGGGTGGCTTGAATTTTCGCTTTTTTGTTGAACAAAGTCTTTCATTTTATTTTATTTTTTTTTTTAAGATTTTATTTATTTATTTGAGAGAGAGAGAGAATGAGAGATAGAAAGCACGAGAGGGAAGAGGGTCAGAGGGAGAAGCAGACTCCCTGCTGAGCAGGAAGCCCAATGTGGGACTCGATCCCAGGACTCCAGGATCATGACCTGAGCCGAAGGCAGTTGCTTAACCAACTGAGCCACCCAGGCGCCCCAAAGTCTTTCATTTTAATGAAGTCTCATTTATCCGTCTTTTCCCGGTGGTTAGTGCTTTTTGCGTCCTGTTTCAGAAATCTTTGTCTGCTCCAAGGACACAAAAATGTTCTCCGGTGTTTTCTTCTGTAAGGTGGATTGTGTTCCCTTTCCCATTAAATAGCCACCCTCTTTAAAATTGCCATCTCCGGCGTGCCTGACTGGCTCAGTTGGGGGAGCGTGTGACTCTTGATCATGGGTTCATGAGTTCGAGCCCCACTCTGGGTGCAGAGATTACTTACGTAAGTAAGTAAATGAATAAATTTTAAATACTAAAAATAAAATAAAATTGCCATCTCCTCCCTTCTCCCCACTCAGACCCTGCTTTCCCATACGTTTACCCTACTTTTCTAAAGATTCTGAAGATTCTGGCACCCCAGCACTCCTTCCCCAACCTTAAGCTTTGAGGGGGGCGGGGACAGAGAAAGAAAGAACCGAGCAACGGCCAGGAGCAGCCCTGATACTTGAGCAGCAGCAGAGCTGGGATTGTCTTTGTAATAGCAGGAGTCAAGGGTCTTAAAATCAGATTCCAGCCAAGAATAGAAGTGTTTTTTTGTCTTTGACATTACCTTTTTTTTCCCTCGGTTCCTGCTAAAAAAGAAAAAAAATCAGTCGGGTTAATGGCCCATAAGAGAGAGTCCCAGAGGACGAGCTTTGTTTCTGATGCATTGTTTTCTCCTTTAGCTGCTCTGTGCGCTCCCTGCTTCAGCCCACTCTGAGGGTCGAAACCATCCCATAAAGGCAGGCCACCCCAACAAGGGCATCCCTCGGCATGTCAGCCACGCTGCTGAGGAAATGGAAAAGCTTAAGGAGTGGGGGAGAGAAAGCTGATTCCAGGAGGCTTTAGGGTAAGGGACAGAAAACTGAAGCTCAAAAAGGCCAGGAATAAGGTCTTGGCCATGGCTGAGCCACACGTGGTCACAGACACTTGACTGAGCTGTCATTTCCCCACCTTACAGAAATGGATCAAGGGAAGTGCAAGATGGACAGGAAAAGACAATTAAAATTTCCAGAAGGAATTGGCCCTTTGGCATGTAGTGTTATTATAATTAGATTGCAGGGAGGGATTATACAATCAGCTATTTCCCATCATCAGAGTGAGAATTATATTTCCTGCTGTAGTGATTTTTTGTTTTGTTTTGTTTTGTGAACATCTTGAACTAGTTTTCAAAGCATTTTATGCTTGATGAAACCCAAAACTCATTCTGCCTGAAGAGTATTTTTCATTCGTTGTTAAATCTCTGTAAATTTAGAGGGAAACATAAATCATATGTGTCTAATTTATTTACTCCTCACAAAATATCCTCTGTCTAGACCTGTTTGTCTGAGATGCCTCCTAAGCCTTCTGAAGCTTGTTCTCTCCGACTCAGGAAGCCAAAAATAAATTGTAGAAAACTCAGACAGCTCAGTTAAAAAAAAAAAAAAAAGCCAGTAATCATGTGCATTTTCACTTGAAAGAACTTTCTTTTTAGCTCACCAAAGTATAGCATGATAGGTTCTGTCAAAACTCTCCATATATTAATTCAGTGAATTTTTATGGAGGGGCCCTGTTTGGTGCCACGTTATATTTTAACTTCTGGGAAATTAGCAGCGAACGAAGCAGGCAGAATCTCTGCTCTCGTGGAGCTTCCATCTTCACAGGGACTGATGATTCAAATTAAAAAGTAAAATACATACTATATTAGAGTATACTGTGGAGAAAAGTCGGGGTAGGAGGCTTAGGGGTGCTGGGTGTGTGAACACCACTGTCATACGAAGGTCAGGGAGGTGACATTTGAGCAGCGGCTCACCTTCCCTGAGGAAGGGAAAGAAGACTTGCATCTTTTCATCAAGGTTTATCCCACGCCAGGTACTAAGCTTGGACGGTTGGAATGAGGACATCATCACTTTAGCAACTGCATCAGTTGGAATTTAAGTATCATGGGGTGGCAGCTCTGAAAAGTTAGAACAGTGGGTCACACCCACTGCTGAGCCCCAGGTTGAGCTTTGGGCGTCTTGAGGTAGCCCCAGGACTGAGATCCAGGAACACGAACACGCACTCCAGAGTGAGGCCCGCACTGGGCTTGAAGTGGCTCTCAGGAAAGAGGAGACCTTTCTAGACATTTTACTGAACTCACATTTCCTTGGATTTTTTTTTTTTTTTTAAGTCAGGCTTCCAGGAAGGCCTTGCAAATTACTCTCAGTCTGCAGGCTGCCTATTAACTATATCCCGAGCCAAGGTTAGATCGGACCCATGGAACCCTACATCTCCCTTTTTTAATCTGCTTTTAATTCCTTCTTCGGGGCTTTGACAGAAATTTGCATCTCCCATGTAATTACCAGAAAGGGTTCTCAAGGGGGCCAGGAGACAAGATGGTGGATGTGATAGGCAGAATTCTAAGAATGACCCCCAGTAACCCTCACCCTTAAATAATCTCCTCCTTATATATGGCAAAAGGGAGATGATCTGGGTAGACCTAACACATGAACCCTTTAAAAGCCGGAGTTTCCTCTGAAGCATCATAAGGACTCAGTGCACCATTGGGGGGCTTGAAGATGAAGGGGGCCCATCAGGAGCCAAGAGAGGTCCCTGGCTGATAGCCAGCAAGGAAACCAGGACTTTCTAACACTAAGGCTTTGGGAGTGCTGAAGTCCTACCAATACCCAGAAAACACTATGGGGGGCGCCCCGCAGTTGTGAAGTCAACCAGTTTGGCAATAGGGTGTCCTCTGTCATTTCTCTCCCTGTCCTGAAGCCCTCAGACCTCAGCGAGGCTAAGGATGGTCAGTGTGCTTGGCCTTCTGCCCTCCCTTCGCTGAGGGACCTGGCCTGGGACGCACTCTGATGAGTGGGTGGAATTCAGCTGTAAATCTCCGCAGAGTCCTTGTCCCTCCCAAGAAGGGTGATGAGGCACAGCCACCCCACATGTCAGCAGGTGGCCCCTTGGCTGTGTTTCTACGGCCCTGCCGTGCCCTGGCCAGTGTGGTCAACACCGGTGATTTATTTGGTGGAGGGCATAGGTAGGGATTGCCTCCATCTCACCTACCTCTCCAAAGCTAGAATCCATAACTTTTAGCATGTTTTAACTGGCTGAGTTTTAAGGTTTTAATGGCCTCAGACTTCAAGTGTCAAAGCATTAGAGTAGTGTTATAGTAACAAGAAATATGTAAAGTGATATTTAAGTTCTCTCCTATAGGACATATAATTTGAAAACAGTTTGGCTAGAAATGGCCAATTATTTGTATTGCTTTCGAAGTCACTGGTATAGTTTTCTTTTGCTGTG